TAATGCACATGTAGACACCTTACTGCACAGTAACACTGTATGTGTGGACTGACTTGAGACTAACTTTAGTCCCAAGTCTGTCCACACACAGCGGCACTGCGCTTTAACGGCTGCTCATGTAGTCACCAGCCTAAAACCTGCTTACTGCACAGTAAATGCGCGTGTAGACGTGCCCTGTGTATCTCTGTACACTGCCTAGGACAGCAGGGGGTAAGGCCTCTGGATCTTACTGCAACACCAATAACAAAGATAAAAGATGACACGCAGCTGAGCTAAGATGCATTAGTTATAGGAAATGTAAAAGCAGCAAGTTTTGGTACAGGTACCCAATACCCCTTTTGGTTGGTGAGGGAGTCACGTGAGGAGCTCTTCAGGAAACACATTTGCATTCCCTGTGAAAATGTTGGCAAAATGCTCTCATTTTTGTGACAATGTTCCCTGCTTTTTGGCATCCTGAGGAGGAAGCAAAACCTGAGTATTTTTGGTTTTCAAAAATACAGAAAATGAGTTTGGTTATTAAAGAGAGAGGGGAAAAAATCAGATTTTTGTAACAGATTTAATGGAAACTAGAAGAGCAGCATTTCTACTTTGGTGAAAAGGTCTTTTCATTACAAACATTTCCAGATAATTTTTTAATTCAGCTCTAATGAACATTTTTCCATAATTTTCATGGCCCTGAAAAGACCAGCCGGGTTTTGCACTCAGGCACTAACCTCTGCAAAGAAAGCAGGAATAACGAAGACTTACTTCCCTTGTTGTCTCCCAGCGTTGCTCTGTCCTGACTGACTAGTCCCATTAGCACTGGGCATCATGGCTTGGATAGGCTGATCCAGCAACATCCTGCAGAAGAAGGAAACAATGACACAGTCCATAAAAAGCCCTTTTTTGTCATGTGTTCATATCCTTGTTGGTTAGTCTCAAGTGATGCATCCCTGTGAAAGCACCGCACCTTCGCTCCTTCACTTTGCATAAAAGATAATGGTTGTGTGCAGATAAGGTCCTAACTCGATCTAATGAGAACACAGTCTGGAGCTGAAACGTTCAGTCTTTTGTGCTACAAATGACCAGCTGAACTTAACAACGGTGCAATAGGTCATCCTCGTGCAGACTGTTGAAATTGGTCTTCCTCCTTCAGCAGGTGTATAAATTCGCTCCAGCTGGGATCCACCCACAGGAGAGTCCTGGAGTCTCACAAAGGTACGTGGAAGACTGTAAATGAATGAATTCAGGTACAGCCAAGGCAGCACAGCTCCAAACGTCTCCAACTCCACCAGAGAACCAGTTTCAAGCTAGCTTGGTTATGCCAACATGAACTACTGTCACTGCAGTGTAGACATACCTGGAAGTAACATGCAAACATCTCAGCAGGTGCTGCACCTTGGGAAGCACCGGCAACACTTCTGGTGTCTAAGGTAGCTGGTGTGCAGATGGCTCAGGTACCTTCACACTTCGCTGCCTGTAGGGCTGAGCAGGGCTTTGCTTTGAAAGTGTACTGGGCACAACCACTACTGAGAGAAGGAGCCAAATCCATCTGGGAGTAGGACGGATGGTTTAAATGGCCTTCTGCAGAGAGAAGGGCCTCCAAGAAACCTTATCATAAAGCACCTGATCACGCAAGTGCCTTTTAAAAGGGCTGGGTCCTGAGAGACCCTTGCACAGAGAACATCTGCTGACCCTTCTCTGAGAGTTGTGCATGAGGACAATTTGTGGGGCTGCCCTGAACCGGGCTGTTTCCAAGGCACTTGTCATGGCTGGAGAAAGGCTATTCTGGAGCTCCCGAGAAATGGGGATCAAGAGATCAGAGGGGTTCGCTTTGCTTCCACTAGTAAAGCAGAATCATAGAAGTTGGGTCGGAAGAGACCTTGTAGATCTTCAAGTCCGACCCCCTGCCTGGGCGGGGGAAAAAAAAACTGGACTCAAATGAGTCCAGCCAGGTAGGCATCAAGCCTCTTCTTAAAGATCCCCAGTGCAGGAAGTGTATCAGCTCAGCCGAGCACTACGCTAATGCCCCTATCCTGCTTCCAGTGCGCTGTGCCATGCAGATGTGCCCTTCACTTCTCTGGTCCCAAGAGCTCTGCTCTGGCTGCCGGGAGCTGGGGATATAGTACACACCTGGTGCAAAAAACTAGTTAAGTTACACGGAAAGTACATGGGAATATTGAGGAAAGGAAAGGGGTCCAGTCCTCCAAGGTGGTGCTAAGTGAGATGCAAAACATGCCATAAGGGCACTGCTTACTGACTTCCAATGCTCAGCCCCACAAGAGGAAGCACTCATGCTTCACATGCACTGGAGGCATTACCAAAGCCTCATCCACCAGGCAGGGATGCTGGATGCATGGCTTGATTGCTTCCCGGCCCTCACAGCCCAGTACCGTCCTACCACACAGCTCTCGAGGGGATCCAGCATGGACCAGACTCTTACCTTAGGCTCCTATCTTGGCCATAGTCAGACTGTGGCTGCCTGTCACTAATTTCGGCTGGCATCTGAGTGGGAGGAGTAATGGGATGAGTCTGAGAGAACACCATGGGGTTGTTGTAGAGGGGCACGGAAATGCTGGTTTGCACTGGCAGGCAGGTTTGCTGCGTCTGATTTCCTCTTATTACGTGCTGCTGCTGCTGCTGCCGCTGCTGCTGCTGCTGCTGCTGTTGCACCTGTAATATAAAGCCATCCCTTAGTAGAACCAAATCCCACCTCCCCTCCCTGTGCACTTAGAGCAGAGGGCTGCACACACCCTGCTTTAGGTGCGAGAGCGGACAAACTGCACTCAACAGACCTGCAACCAGGCTGTCTGCAGTCTGGGCCCCCTGCAGAGGACAGGTCCTGGGAGTCTTGGTTGGAAAAGTTGGCTGCCTTTTCAAAATTACAGCACTGCAGAGGGGGGCTGGAGAGGAGGAAGAAGGCACCGACAAATTGGAGGCCCCCCCATGAATGGGTTCTCGTGCTTCTTCTATGACTCGAGGAAGTTTTCCTCTGAGCTCTAAGTGGCCTAATCCTCACTGATTACAATGAAGGCCTGTTGGATCAGGAGGGGAGAACCAAAATCATAGGGCTAAAGAGATCTTGGATGCAAACTCACTGACTTCAGTGCAGTTTCACCAGGGCTCCTCTTGGCCCCTTCAGGTTTTGCAATGGTAAACCTTTACAGCTACAGCTGGGTGAGGCTACAAATGAACACCTCTGAGTAGGTGAAATGATGCACTTGATGCTAATGGCAGCAGGAGACAGCGCTAGGAGGCCAGAGATGAATTTGTGCTCACTAGTAAGGAACTAAGTGGAGGAGGAACAGACGCTAGCTTCCCGCCTGGTACAGCTCCACAGATGTCGGCAGGAGCTGCCCTGGGGGTGACTTTGGCCCTGAACAAGATGAGTCACAATAACCGCAGCAAGTGAGAAACTCAAGGAGGTAGCAACCTGGGAGGAGGTGACGCAAGGTTCCCTGTGGAAGTGCCGTGGTGACGGTAAGTGAGGGCTGCAGTAGCGTTTCGAGCCCCCCAGGCCTTGCTGTTGAGACTTCTTGGCCACGGTTTGCCTAGCTGCCCCTGTCTGCTGCTGCTGAGCTGCCCTCTGTGGGCTCTGCTGCTGCGCGTTGTTGAACACCAAGGGCATGGGCTGCTGCATCAACATCTTTAAGGAAAAGAGAGAAGTGAATCGTTACTGCAGTTTGCACACTGGATTGTTTAATGATCTGCCCGAGTGCCCCACAGTGAGCTCTAATGCGATGAGCAATACTGCTCCTGCAAAACAAAATGTTCCCCAGGGATCTATTAAGCATATAAATTGTGCTGAGTTCCATTCATCCGATGAAACAAGATTATCTGGCACAGTAAGGAGATACAGAGGGTTTCGCCACTGCTTTACTAGCCCCAGTGCAGCTGAAGTCAGTGGAAAGTGAAAAATCATTAGACCCTGCTGGCTTTCTAAAGAGCTCGGGACTCACAGTCCAGGTGCTGGACGAGGGGTGTCTATGTTGCAAAATCTGCCACCTGAATTAGCACCAGGAGGGGACGGAGATGCAGGGCTGAAGTGTAAGCCTTCACCTCTTTCTGCTGCAGCCTGCACCCTTTACCCACCCAACCTTTCACAGTGCAGGGATTACAGAACGAGCCCACAGGGACCTTGACCACGTGGCCATTTTCAGTCCATAGGGCTAATACCACTGGGTGCATCTACACATGCATAATAATGCAACACAATAAACTCTGGTGCATATCACGCTGGAGTTTATTGCTCTCAGGCACCGTGTTTACAAGTGTGCCTAGGACCACAGCTTGTTAAGTTGGGTTGGAGTAGCCCTGGCTGCAGGGAGCCCCGGAGGTCAGCCTGCCAGCCCAGGGCTGCTCTCGCCCAGCTCACAGTGCGGTGGAGGGGCTGGCTGGGGCACGAGGGTGCTCCAGTGTGGGGCTAGCTGGCAGGCAGCCTCGTGCCCAACCAGCCCTACCAGCACCTACACGTGCAGTGCTGTGGAGTAAAAAACTCTACATCAGGATAGTATTTGTATTTACAAGTAATAGTCTGCTGCAGAGTTTATTAGTTTACTCCAGCCTAATAAAACCCTGCATGTGTAGGCACTGAAACATCTGCTGCCGAGCTAATTAGCCAACTCCACAGTAAATGACTCGTGTAGATGCGGCCACTGTGGATGATACCATGTTTGTCCGTGTCAGGTTCGTTTTGCAGCAGTGAAATGGTCCATGTGTGCACCCTTTACAGAACAGGTTGAAAGAATAAGTAGAAATTCCCCTTTTTTAGCTATTAGACTATCCTTTGATCCTAGATTTTTGAATTAGGCTACAATATAATTTCTCGTCGTTCCCACCTAATCTTCCTCCTTGCTCGACTGAAATACTCCAATTTAAAATTAGAAAGTGCTCTTTAACCTCTTTGCCACTTTGTGTGCCAATTGAGGGGAGCAAACATGACTTCAAACACAAGTGACACCGCTCTCGCTAACTGTACAGCACACCCAATCAGCTTACAGATCACAAACCTTGCCTCCCTGTCAAATAATTAACTGCAGTATATTTGTGCATTGGAGCCTTCGGATACAAGAAGAAGATGGGTTTAGTCACGGCTGCTCTATTGATAGCCACACTTATTCAAACAAACACAATTCATGGATTAGGCATAGCAGAACCAGTGACTAGCATGAGATGCATCGTTTCCCTTTCACAAATGAATGTTATTTTGTCGAATGTTTGTAGCAAATCTGGCTGCTCTTCTAGAAGGCACTCAGCTGCCATGGCGATGCGCTCAGTACAAGACCGTAGCTAGAAGAGACTAGAAAAGCTAACGTTTAGTAGCTGAGTTATGGAGCCATACAGCAGCTAAGGATGCAGGCGATGGTACGATGCTGCCAACTTGCTTTGCTCAGGCTACTGCAGGAGGATACTGATGACATGTTGCAGCCGCACATATTTTATGCAGTGCTCAATAATACTGCATTTTTTTGGCCAGCGCAGCATGTGTGTTTTGCCATCACAGCATCACCGCCTATTAAAGCTTACCATACTGTAACAAGCCACGAGAGGGAGCCAGGAGTTAATTTAGTTCCAGGCAGATTCTCAGGAAGGTTTGCAGATTGTTAAACAAAAGGAAAAAGCAGCCACGGGCAGGAGGCTCTCAGCTCCACATCCTGGTTTTGGAGGGCTGGGAAGGCTTTTAGCTGAGATTAAGGTCACCCAGGGAATAGCTTTAACAGCCTTTTGGACTGATGTCATTTGGAGGAGGTCGGCCTCAGGTCTCTGTAGCTGCTAACGCTGGAGTAATTATCAGCATGGCCACGAGATGGTGGTGAAGGTTTACCTGCCGGAGCGCTCTTGCTCAGGTTTTATGAAGGCATCTCTCACTATCATAGCGAATCTAAAACCTTTTAGACTCCTGGCATCCCTCATTACACTCAAAGGCCCCTTTGGAAAATGCCAGCCCTTTGCTTTTCCTCATCTACTCACTACAGAAAAATACTAGAGCCGTTCTTCTGTTGCAAAGACGTCAGAAAGTCCGCAGCAGGGCAGAAGGTTTTTAACACTCTGCATTCCTATTTGCAATTTCTGGGTTTCTCTTGTGAATCCCGTTTGCATACCTACCAGTGCTAATGCAGTATGGCACCCCTGAAAGGATCTCAAGGCAGCCCGGGCTGCCGTGGCACCCTGCTGAGAGTCACTGGTCTACCACGTAAGTGCCGTACATAAAGCAACACCCAAGGTGCTCTACATAGCACTGCCCTTTGTTCCCTCTTTGCTTGCTTGGCTGCTTTTGTCACCCTCTCCTCCCCTCTGCAAGCCTGCAAGCCCATCACCAGCAAACTGGCCCTGAGTACTTCAATTGCTCCACGTGGCAAATGGAGCACTCAGCTATTTATGATGCACTTGGGACGAACTGTCTCCATATGCACGTTCAGTCAACATAAATAATGCTGCTGCAGCAGCCTCATAAAATACAATAACGCAGCGAACTGTGAATAACAGGAAATCAAATGCTTTCTTTTGCCCAAATATTTATCTGGAGTCCACGGCCAATTCCGGTGCTGTTAGCCCTGTCGGTGCTGGAGCCCTGTCCGCTGGCAAGGCGCTAGAGAGCTGCTTTGGTCTTCCCCCGCCATTCGAGCCCTGAGCTCTTCCTGCGGGAGGGACACTTCAACCAGCCTCGCCACCACTTTGAAACTACGCAGATGAGGCAAAATGACCAATTTGCCAGTGAAGCCGCAGGGAAGCAGCACCGCTGGCCCTGCTGCTACCAACACAAGAGGCTCCTTTCTTTCTGCAATGACACGTGTCCAGCAGTTCTGGCTCTTAGGGATCAACTGAGATCATTTCTAAATGTGCTGCATTGTAGCTGGACATGAAAGTCTCCATATGCTGCTTGGTTACCAGTCTAGGGGCTACGGAGCAGGTGGTACTTTGGACGCCAGGCATAAGACAGGTGGGGCGATGGGGAGCGCCTGGGGCAGACTGGCTTTACCTGCAGATTGGAATCCTGCACCAGCTGGAGCTGCTCCTTGATGACGTGGAGCTCCTCCTGCTGCGTCTTGATGTCCGCTTGCAAAATGCGCGTCCGTTCTTCCAGCTGCTCCTTCAGCTGATGCATCATCCCCAGCTGCGCCGGGAAGTGGTACACGGGCTGCAGGGGACAGAAAGCGCCTGGCCGTGAGCCCCTGTGCTCTCCTTACAAATGCTGCTGCTGGCTGCCCAAATGCCAGTGCTCACACTTTTTTGAGCATGGGAAGCTTCCAGTGCAGGAGAGATGGCTGCGCTACCAAACACCACCCAGGGGACTTGACCTGGATGCCCTCATTCGTTATCAGAACTGAGCCTAGACCTGGCGATTTGTTCCCCTTTTGTGTTTCCTGCTCTGCTAGTGTTTGGGGACACAAGTAGGCTCTCCTGAGCTCAGGCAAAGATGGGCACCTTCTCCCCCTTCCCAACCGGAGCAGAGGAACTGGCAGAGGGAATGAGAAGTAGCTTGCACACCCAGGTACTGGTACAGATCCCTTCCCCCTGGAACCAGGGAGGACACAGTGTCCAGATCGTGTCCCTTCTGAGCCGCAATTTGCTGCCTGGACAACACAGGTACAGACAGATCCTTCCACACCTCTACGATCTGGCCCCAAGAGAGCAAGTAGCTCCCTTGAGACCTGGTCACCACAGGGACCTTTGCTAACCCCAGCTGCCTTCATACCAGGAGAATTTCAGTGGCTTATCCTGCCTGATCACACTTCTGGTGAGCCACACTGCCGCACACGCACAGTTAACATAAGCCAGAAGGCTGTTGCTGGCACCAGAACAAACGTCTCCAGCTCTCATCCAGCAGTGAGGTAAAGCGCTGCTTCCTCACGCCTGCCAAGTCTGTCTGGCCATCCGTTCTCCTTATGCTACCAGCACGTGGCGATCTGCTGGCCGGGCAAGAACTCGAGTGAACTGAGCAAAAATGAAGCTTGTACCATCATGGTTTGCTGAGCGGGCATCGTGGCTTGCTGAGCGGGCATCGCTGGCTGGGCCATCTGACGCTGAGTCAAATGTTCGGCAGGGGCCTGAGGAGTTACGATCACCTGGAAAAGAAAACATGGCTTTGTTTTAGAGCCACAGTGTGTTGCTCATGAGAGGAACACAGCGCCCAGCCAGCTCCTGGAGGGCACATTTGACACCCAGGGGTCCTGGCTAGCGAAGCACCAGCACTGAACAAAGATCAGGGAAGAGAACATCGCACAGGGAGCTGGACAGACATCCCAGTCCTACCTGGCTGCATATCTTGCAGTGCAGATGCTTCTTAGCCACATTGTCTACCCAGGTAAGCATACATGCTGCGCTGCCCTGTGTGGGCTGCCTGCTAGACTGGAGTTGCTGCTGGCTGGCTAATTAGCATGAGGGCAGGCTAATTGGCACCGACAGTCAGCAGCGCTAAATAGCCTGCCCAAAGCACCATGTGGGCATGGGTCCGCAGCTTCCAGTTTAGGAGGCAGTCTGCAAGGAGCAGCAAGATATGCCTGAGGGCTCACAACTTACAGTGCTGATGTGGCCTGGGGAGGCCAAATATTTAATATCAGAGATGGCTGAGCAGGGACAGAATAGCTGGTGGCATGACAATGTCAGCAATGGAGCCAAGGAGACCCAGGGGAGTTGGCAGGACTGGAAGGAGTGAACCCGGCCTCTTGTATTTAGCTCCACCAGCTTGACCCTCTCTTGTATTTAGCTCCACCAGCTTGACCCTCTCTTTCTGAACGAAATCTGCTTCACCTGCACATGCAGCTCCCAGGAGCAAAACTGGCACTAGGCACAGAAGGCCACGGTCCAGGGCTGCTGGGCAACCTCCTGGGTCTTCTGCCAGGTTATGGGCTGCATCAGCTGGCAACTGCCTTCCCAGCACTTGCCCAGGGTATGATAATTGCTTAAGGGATGCAAGTGGCACTGCAATTATAGTTTCATAGTTTCTAGGGTCGGAAGGGACCTGAGCAGATCATCTAGTCCGACCCCCTGCCATGGCAGGAAATAGTACTGGGGTCAAACGACCCCAGTAAGGTGGTCATCCAACCTCCTCTTAAAAACCCCCAGGGTAGGAGCCTGCACCACCTCACATGGAAGCTAGTTCCAGCCCCTAGCCGCCCTGACCATGAAGTAGCGCCTCCTGATGTCCAACTTAAACCTTCCCTCTGCCAGCTTGTGACCATTGTTCCTGGTCACTCCTTGCGGCGCTCGGGGGAACAGGGACTCCCCCAGCACCTGCTGATCCCCCCTAACCAGTTTATAACAGGCCACAAGATCCCCCCTCAGCCTTCTCTTTTGAAGGCTGAACAGGTTCAGGTCCCGCAACCTTTCCTCATAGGACCTACCCTGCTGTCCCTTGATCATACGAGTGGCCCTCCTCTGGACCCTCTCGATGCTGTCCACATCCCTCTTAAAGTGCGGCGCCCAGAACTGGACGCAGTACTCCAGCTGCGGCCTGACCAGTGCCGCATAGAGGGGGAGGATCACCTCCTTGGACCTGCTCGAGATGCATCTGTGGATGCACGACAAGGTGCAGTTGGCCTTCCTAGCCGCCTCCCCACATTGCCGACTCATGTTCATCTTGGAGTCAATAATGACTCCCAGATCCTTTTCCACCTCCGTGCTGACAAGAGGGGAGTTCCCCAGCCTGTATGTATGGTGCCGATTGTTCCTCCCCAGGTGCATCACCTTACACTTGTCTGTGTTAAACCCCATCCTGTTCTCCTCCGCCCATCCTTGTAACCTATCTAGGTCCAACTGTAGCCTGTTGCTCCCCTCTATTGTGCCCACATCCCCCCACATCTTAGTGTCATCAGCAAACTTGAACAGGGTGCTTTGCACCCCCTCATCCAAATCACTGATGAAGATGTTGAACAGGGCGGGCCCAAGGACCGAGCCCTGTGGGACCCCACTTCCCACGTCCTTCCAGGTCGAGAAGGACCCATCCACTACTACCCTCTGGGTGCGACTCTCTAACCAGTTGGCGACCCATTGGACTGTATGGGTGTCTACGCCACAGTCCCCCAGCTTCCTAATGAGAATGGGGTGAGAGACAGTATCAAAAGCCTTCCTGAAGTCTAGGAAAACTATATCCACTGCCACCCCTGCATCCAATGATTTAGTGACCTGGTCGTAAAAGGCCACCAGGTTGGTCTGACAGGACCTGCCGCTGATGAACCCGTGCTGGTTGCCCCTGAGCATGCAGTTCCCTGCTGGCCCCTCCTGGATGTGTGCCAGAATAATTTTCTCGAACAGCTTGCCCAGCCTGAGAGGAAGTGAAGCCTAGATCACTCAGCAGGGCTCTGCCCCATGGGTGCTGAGCTCCACTGCTGGCCTTCCTAAGTGCTGCAGAGCTTACGTCCACAGAAAGCTTTATCATCTTTGCTAAACACAGGCTGGAGAGGCTGCTGCTCTCAGGGCTCTGTACCTGGGTGCTCCCACTTGAAGCCAGCCTCAGGGAGGTCTTCTCAGGCTGCCCCAGAGACACCGACTGCCTGGTGGGAGTGCTGGCATCTGTGTGTCGCATGGATGATGTGGCTGCAACAGAGAATGTCCTTTTCAGATCATGTAGTGGCAAGGGGACAGTAGACATGCACCCTCAGCTCTGACCAGCCCTGCACCTCTACACACCCAGATGAGTAGGGATGTGGCCACCCCGATGGGCACCTCCAGCCACAAGCCTTGCAAAACCATCTGCAACAACAATCTCCTAAACCCAGTCAAAAAAGAGAGGCTGCAGTGATCTACAGCCATTTGTAGCTGGGAGTCATGCCAAGCAAAAGCAGTTCCCAGACCCCCGTTCCCACTTTCTCTCCCTCTTTCTGGAGAGCCTGGCTCATTTCTGATGACAAGACTTTATTACAGCTCTCTCCATGGTGTTTCTCCGCCGGCAGCTTCCCCATCTCTGCGCTGCAACCTGCCCTGCTATTCCTGTGAAGCACTGAGAGAGCAGGTCCACTGAGTTTGCTCTCCATACCACAGTGTGATATACCAGTATCATCCCGGTGGTGCTGCTCAACCACATGGAGCAAGGGGAGCCCCAGCTGCGTCACTGCTCTCCACAGCAGCCGGCCGGTTACCTCTCTGCTTTCACTCACTCTCTTTTCCAATTCCAAATTATAGGTAAAACCAGGCACCCATCAGTCTGGATAGCAGGTATTTCCAACACGCCCACTGCTGCTGTATCTAGGTGTCAAGGGGGATCACCAAGTTCCTCCTTGATTTAGCCCCATCACAAGCCCTTGGGCTTCGATCCTCAAAGGTGTTTAGGCATCGGGCACCCAAAGGCCTTTGAGGATCTGGGCTTTGGCTTTTCAGTGTTGCCTTCCCTACTTAAAAAGCATGAACGCTTACAGTGAGATAGCACTGTAAGTAGAGAAAAGACATTCACTGTGTCTACCACGAGCTGAGGTTGGCCCTTTTTTGGCTCACTCACAGCTTTTTTCTTACAGTAAAACTGAAGTGTCCTGCCTCCACTTTTTCAGCAATGGGACCAGTAACACGCCTTGCCCATCCACATTGCTGCAGACACAGTCCCCTGGTGTCTGTTTTCACTAGCACTACGCCCGCAGCTCCTCTGAGGCTCAGCCACAGGCAAAGGCCATCTGCAAAGAGAGGAGGCCTAGCAACCGGCCATGAAAGGATCAAGGCTCGCTCAGAGGGAGCCATTCTGAATTCATACACATATAACTGGGAACAAACTTTCCTCCCAATGAGGCAACTGGCAAACTCTAAGGGAGTTTTTGAGTCTCTAAATATATTTCCAAGCTTCCAGCTAGTTTGGTCGAGCCCGCTAGTGCTGTTCCTTGCTCTCCCGGTGACCGAGACGTACATGCAGAGTCAGAGAGGGCCGTGTGCGAAGATCTGCGGGAGCTGTGGGACGACACAGACACTCTCTCCCTGCTGGTTTCCTGGCTGTTTCCACACTGCCTGATGTCTACGTAGCTATTGTGACTCTGGAATTAATAGAATAGACCCTGGTTAGTACCATTATTTGCAGCAGGAAGCAACATCGCTCTAAGGCCCCTTCTCCTCCTACTTTTGCTCACCATTATACATCAATTTTGGTCACTGGAAACAAACCAGTGGCACCAGGGAGTTCCTGCATGGAACAGCCATTCGGATGTGATGAAGTGCGTGACGTCCCACTAGATGTGGAGGCTACATGTGGAGATGTGACCCGTGAGCTCTCAGCTTGCGACAGCCAGGCTCATCCGGGAGAGCGCCTGCTGTCCATGCATGGCAAAAAGCCTGACCATTTCTTCCTGCCCCAGCCTTCCCAATACCTCAAATCTCCCCGTGACTTTGAGATAATACCCGTTCCTACCCAAAGCTCCTCATCGGACACCCTAACAGACTCCAAATTAAAGCGCCATATCTGTAGCCTGCAGCCCAGCTTCAACCTACAACAAACCCCCCTGCCCGAGCTGGAGGGAAGTAACGTGGTTGGTTCTGCCCCTTGCAAGATGTTCCTAAGATGGTGACAACCCGTCCTGCTCGGTTTTCCCTTCAACCGAGCAAAGCTGTTGTGCCACAGAGGGAAATGCCAAGAAAGGAGCCTGAAGGTGTCTGTGCACGCAGCAACGAGCTCTCTAACACCGGGTGTGTAGATGGAGACATGGCCAGGAAGGATGGGTGAAGCACTGACCAAGGACTTGGGACATCAGCTCCCATCTCTGCCACTGACCTTCTGGGCAATTTTGGGCGAGTCAGTTAATCTTGCTGGCCCTTGATTCACCTTCTGTGACCCAGGAATAACAGTACAGCCTCCTCTGCCTTGTGTGGTTAGACCGTCAGCTCTTAAGAGCAGGCTGCATTTCCTATTAGGCCCGTGTATGGTGCCTGACTCAAAGGGGCTGGAGGCACAACTGTGGTACAGGCAATGAGCAATAACAATACCAGCACCCCATGCCCTGCCAGGACTCCTCAAGCAGCCCCCATCCCTCCAGCCAGACTCCATAAATTAAAGCTGAGGCCAGGGAAAGTCAGAATGGGAAGAGGGAGTTTGCTTTACTGCCTGACGAGCCCTCCTTTCCCTGACACCCTGCGCATCGCATATACATAGAAGCATGCTTTTATCATTAGCATCTTTCTGCCCAGTTTATGCAGGGATGTCACAGTTCATTGGCCACGACTCACTGGGAAGCGACTGAAGACTTGACACATGAATGTGAGAGGAGGAATGGGCTAGGTAGAGGACATTTGCTACAGATGTGTGAGATGGCACCAGAAGAAGACACAGGCCTATGTGAGGGATAGTGGCAATAGCTCTATTAATGTATATGACTAACGGCTCATGCCAGAGGGCAAGTGTCAGCTTATGCTAACAGCCAAATTTCTGCCATGCTCTGGGCAGCAGTCATTTTGACAGGAAGAACGGCGGCAGGACCTGGCAGTGTCTTTGGAGAGGAGAATAACCTAATGTATCACACTTCACTTTGCAAAAATCTAGTTGGTCTAATAAAAGTTTGCCTCTACCATGAGTCTTGGATGCTTTTTCCGCTAGACCAATATGGCTGCACCCTGGATACCTCCCACACCATGCTGGGCACTTTCCACCCAGCAGACTGCTGAGATCAAACAGCAGAGAAGCCGGTCACACCCTCCACCCTGTATTTCCCAACCCTCCATGCCCATCGCAGGGAGTCATGCCATTCAACCCTTCTTTGTCTGGCTCCCTGCATTCCTGGCACAGGCGCAAAGGAATTACTTGCTCAATTTTTTTTCTTGCTTCATCTCCCCAGTAGTCAAACAAACAGACAAATATAATAGGCAATGGGTTGGAATGGGAAAGAAAATACAAGACGGCTGTGCCAGTGCAGGTCAGAGGAAATTGTCTGCTAGAATGACATTGGGTTGAATGTGAGAGAGGCTTTTTAAGCAAGGAAACTTCACACAGGCACACATTTAGTCAGCAGTCAAATGTGTTAGCACTGACTATTATGCCCAAACAGCCTATAGTGTCAGGGCCACAGTGTATTAAAGCTTTTGCTGTTATTCACCCCTGCTTCCCTTTAAATAGCTCCATACAGCAAGATCTGAAAAGCTTTAGGGATAATGACTATATGATCCATTTGAAATGACTTTAAAATGCCTTATTTTTACCCTCTTGATAGCCCTTAGCCTAGATGACCCGGCTAATTGAGCAAGCGTGACAACAACAGATTGATTCAAGCCATGGAAATTATTGCTCTAACATAGCACAACACTGGATGTTATCCCGCCCAACACTGCACATGGGGCTGAGATCTGGAAAGAAGAAATCAATTAATCATTCTTTTCCCTTCACTTCCAATCTTTGTCTGATTACCCACAAGGAGCTGGTATTAAAACAGTACAGCTATACACAACCAGCACTGTGGCAATGATCTGTACTCAGGCTCTAATATGTCTGAAGAATTGCGGTGTTGAGAGTTAATGCATTGCTTATCCTCTAACTTAAACAATATTTTGCACTCTGCAAAATGATTTATTGCTCTTGCTGAGACACAGTGGTTTAAACTTTCACTTGGAAGAAGAGTGCAGTCTGATCTGCCCTAGCCATACAACAAAAGATGTGATTATTGAGGCTGCATGGCTAGGAACTAGCTAAGAGAGTGCAGTGTGGTGCAATATGGTGTTAAAATACACACAGGGCATGTCTACATTTGCATTTATACCAGCTTAAATTTACTGCGCAGTAAATTACTGTGCAGTAAGCGAGAACAGCTCTGGCATCTACCCATGCAGGTGTGAAAGCACATTAATGCTGTGTGTGGACTGACCTGGGGATAAAATTATTCCCAAGTCAGTCCACATACACGCAGTGTTACTGCGTAGTAAAGCATCTACACATGTTACTGCGCAGTAACTAATCAGGTATCAAATTTACGCTCAAGTTGGTGTAAGTGGCTGTATTTACTGCGCAGTACAGGCGTGCACATGTAGATGCACATCTGCACTGTGCAGTAATTTCAGTTACTGTGCAGTAAATGTGCATGTGTAGACGTGCCCAAAGTGGATTTGCAAGGCAATGAAACAGAAGAGCTGGAAGTCAAAGGGAATAAAGAGAAAGAGGGAGGAAGAAGCTCAGATGTTTTTATGACACCCATGCCTTTCATCTGTGTGAGTCAACAGCCTCGTCACTCTGTGGTGAAGGCGCAGCATACCTTCAAAGAAGATGATGCTAGCTCAACTGATGACTCCTCAAGGCCAAGGTCTCGCCTCCTTTGAGCCCGAACCTCTGCATAACTAAAAGGGGAAAAAAGGGTTTTAAACAAATTTGTACTGCTTAATGGAAATGCATCACAGCCTGTGAAACAGAGAAAACAGCAGCTTGCTAACCTGATACATACTCCTTGAAGGATCCCTCACTTTATGCCTCTGGCCTTGCACACACAAATCCAGCTCCCTTTCAGTGGGTAAGTAGCACCCCCGTGGCTAACTTTAGTGGAAGTTTGGGCCAGTCAAATAGATTTTAAACTGAATTCCCCAAAGTGCAACTTGGGGAATTCAACATGCTCAGAAGGACTCTCTCAGCCCTGCCTTACCTGAACGTACTGAAATGCATGTCTATAAATCAATTTAATTTGGGATACGAGCTATACTGAATTGGGACATACTGTATTTTGGGATATAGCAGAGGAAGAAACGAATGGCCGTGCTCAATCAAAACAGAACTTTAGGGGCTGTTATGGTGGGAAAATCCCCCAAGAGAAGGAAGATGCAACAAGCTTCAAGGGAAATCCCTCTACAATATAACAATGAAGTCAGTTAAACTAGCATTTGGTATGTGGTTTGCACCAACATATATAAAAGTCCACCCACAAGTATCTCCTTATCAGTCTAAGGGAGATCTCAGAATTGTCTTTCAGACTATCTGACTCTAACCCCTGTTGACTCAGGCTTGTTCTTACAAATGCTGAAAAGGCTCAAAAGAGGGAAAATTCACAAAACAAATCCTTCAGATAAGGAACAACATTTTAAGGAAGAATGTATTTAACCACTCCGCGTTCACAGCAGTCCCGCTGCTGAGATAAAGTTTCAAATCCTCTTGAATCACTCGGACACGCCAGGGACTGGCTCCGTCTGTCTCTGCGCTGTCCATGCATCCAGAAGAACAATCTTGCTCCCGCTGCCATCTTCTGCGCCATTCTTTGCTGGTCTTGTCTGCGCTTCAGGATTATCCAGTGTGTTTCCTCCTGGCTCTACTGGGGTATCCTTGCTGCCGCTTTCCCCAGGGAACCTTTCAGCACTCCCCGTTCTGGGTCAGGACTCAGGCCACAGCTCTCAAGTCACCTGGAGAGGAATTCCCTCCCTGCTCCAAGCCCGCTGCTTTACATTATACTTCTCTGATTTAGGTGCAAATCCCCCCTGCCTTCAATCTGGTATGTCACTACCTTTCTAAACCCTCCACTACAACCATTCTAAGTCTGGAGCCAATCTTTTCCGAGCCAACAATGGGATTTTTCTATTGACTGAAGCAGAAGCAAAGTCTTGCCCAATACTTGTGCATCACAAACATTCAACACACTGTCCCTCCAACATGTTGCATAATGCTGAAGCGTAAAACAGGGCCACCGCTAGGGGGGCTCATGTACTAAAATGTCCTTTATGATCCTGCGTAATGCAATGGAAGCTAGCTTCAATTCACATGCACTTAAAACTCTGATCAAAGAAGTGGACAAGAAATCTCTCACGGCACTGACATCCATCTGACATTCGGGTGATATATAGCTTGAGTTTTTCTGTATCTGTGTCATGGGGAGGGGCAAGAATGGACTGTAATGACACTCAGCCAGGAGTCACTTCCAGGCATTTGGCTCGATGGCCAGAAAACAAAGCTAAATGGGTAATGAAAAACATATTAAAAAACATTCCAATTTCTCAACTCCAAGACTTTTATATATCTAAGCATCTTCTCCAAGAGTCAACAGACGCAGCGGATATTTGACTAACACATGACACGAATGGAAAATGTAAAGCATGAGCACATGGATACATAGCCAGCATGGGCAGTGCGTATTCCTACCTAACTACAAGGTGAGTGCAGACAATGAACTCGGGCTTGGAGTTCCACTGGTGGTAAGTGATGTAATAGTGCGTCTGCAGCCATATCCACTGCTGGCCTTTGGTCAAGAATCTGTAGTAACAGGACTTTCCTTTCCCAAATTGCATCACTGTTAAACAAAAAAAGACAAAATGACAACAGGTACAACAGGAGCAGGTGAGGCAGCGCTGGAGCAGCAGCTACCGAATGGCCTTATTGGACTGAGATGAGGTGAAAAAGTCCGCCCCATCTCACAACAAGGTACTAGACTGCAATGTAATCCAGGCTTCTCCAAGCATGCCTTACATACTCAACCACAGGCCACGCAATTATTTGATTGTCTGCTACTGATTTAAAGATTTAAAAAGAAAGAGCTTTGATATGCTGAGCTCATTTTTATAAACGGTCGCTTGGACAGGCAGCCACTCTGTACCTTTGCTAGTCAATGGTAAATATAAATGACAGCAACCAAATGACCATTGCCCTTTTTACACGTAGGCAGTTCGCATGTCAGGTGCTATTGCCTTGCAGTCAAGAACCTGATAAAGGTAGAAATTTCACGGGAGAGTGGAAATCACCTGGCTGGTTAGGTTTGGAGTCCTCCTCCTTCCCCCCTGCCACCACTGCAGGAGAGGCAGGTAAGCTCCAGCACCCCTGCACCATCCCTGCCACCTTCCCACCACCTGGGACCGCCCGGGGATGGCTGGTTTGCCCCTGGGGCAGAGTGGCAAGGCGGCAGGAGGACGGCTGGGTGTGCTGGTGGCAAGAGAAGGCAGCAGGGATGGTGCACGGAGCGCTGGAAGCCCGCCAAGCCCCGAGCACGTCAGCTTCCAGCGCCCCATGCACTGTTGCACTTTGTTAGGTGGCAAACTAAGACACCTCGGAGGTGTTTTACCTTGCTACATACCAAAGTCATTTAAAGCGGAATATGCCGCCGAGCATGCAAACAGCAACACCATTAAAGCAGCGCAAAAGGGCATTTAAGCCACTTTAAAGGCCAATTTTGTGGCCCTATATGGTGGGGCCATGTCTTTCTTTCACAGCTGCTGCTCCTACTATATCTCACTTCAAAAGTGCCATTGAACAAGTCTTGTTAAAAAATGCAATAAGAACAATTTCTTGACTTAATACTACTGGCCCAATTTGGCCTAGCAACATTTTTTTACAACTGAATGCTTTTAGAGACTCCTGGTCCTTTTGCCTTTGATGAGCCTTAGATGGGACCCTTAAGAGAGTCAAGCCATTTGGATTCACTCCCATACTGACCAAAAATGTCCCAAGTGCCTTTGGCAAGCCACTTTGTCTGTACCTTAGTTTGCATGTGCATGGAAAAGCAATAACCCCAGGTCCATTGCAGCCTTACGCTGATAAACCTGTTCATGTTTGAGAGATGCTCAGATACGAGCAGTGATGGGGAATATAAGTTGCTAAGTAGCAAAATTAGACATCAAAGTATCAGATTCCACTCACAGATCCAGCAGGTGGGTATCTAAAAAGACACAGAGTGCCAGGCCATTGCAAAAAACTCCCACTTCTGTCAGATTTGTTTGTACTGACTATTAGTATGAGTAAAGACTAGCCTAAGTGAGTGAGACTGGGGTAAAGAAAGCTATTTCTGCATTGCCTCGGTTTATTTCCTTTGTGGACTGGACAGAATTTGTGGAGTTATTTTCACAGTTTCTCCCGTACAGTCAGCCAGGCACTGTTTCCCTTGCTGTTTGAGTCTTTTTGAAAAGCAAGAGGGAAGATGCAAACCACTGAGGTTCCTTGAAAGAGGTGTGGGCCTTAGAGACCTGCAGGTAGCTAGAAAAATATGACGATAAAACCATGAGATGAGACGGGGGGGCCAAGAAATGTATCTGGTACCTGAAACATCTCTTCACTCATTATAGCAAATGGACTAGCTTTCAAGTGGCTAGCATCTCTACACACCAACAAAGACCCAGGCGGCGGTGGCACTCACACAAGAGCCACAAGTGGAGGACAGGAGCACCGACGGCCAAACCACGCATCGAACCACACTTCTGAACAACTGTGTGCAAACACAACCCCTGCCAAGCTGGAAAACATCTCCTGATAAAACTGCACCTTCCAGGGGAATTCAGCCTCCCTACTTAGGTGTGGACAAGGCAATCACAGAGAACAATCCTCCTAACGTGTATTTTGTTTGCAATTATGGTGTTTGCGCAAGAGTCGGCCTAATGGAAAAGCCAGATTAAAGCGCACGTGGTGTTTCCTGGCAAACAAGGGGAGAGGAACTTACAGTGTTCATGGCACCTAGCAAGGAGCTCCAGGTCATCGGCGTGGTAATAATCATAACCCGATGTTCCCAGGACCTCAAAAGGTAAGTAGCCTATAATAGGTGGAGCCCTGGAATGAAAACAGAGAGAAAGTAGTAAGCAGTGAATTCCAATGCAACGACACCCTGACGGCAAACAAAACACCGAACATGTTCACCTTGCACGGCAAATTGGGAGCAACACTCGCCCTTTCGTAGAAGGGTGAGAAATACAGAGAAGAGTGCAAAACCTGAGAATCAGAGAGGTATCTGTTTGTTGTTTCAGAGCCTGTCCTCATTACGTGGGTGTAGAAGAAGGCACGCATGAAGGCGAGTGACTCATTCATTAAGCATGCTTGTTAGACACGTCGTTGAGAAACACGACGGCTGTTCGTGTGCATAATAAATGGGGGCCTGGGTAAAATTATCCAGGAGGTTGGATGTAAATGTCATCCTGGGAGTAACTGGAGAAGACGGGCTGAGGAGGAATCGACGGTGTGTGTCAGGACCTGCCCGAGTCAAAGACAAAGCAATTTGTTCCCATGGAAAACCTCGGGAAATCAAGACCAGCAAAACTGCTGCCGTCCACCCACTTCTGCCGGCCCTTGGAAACGGAGCCGGTTTTCAGGCCTAGTGCAGATGAGGAGGGCACCACAGGGCACAGGCGGACGCTCCTCCCCAAATCCTGCTGGCAAATACCCAGTTGGAAATTCCAGCTTTTATAGCCAACGAATGAAAGCTCTTTCAAAAGGCAAAGGGACACTGCCTAATGGGTAAACAAGGTGCACTACAACACGGTTAGCGCAGCAGTTGCCAAATAATTATCATCACGCAGGCATAAGAGTCAGGCCAAAGGTGTCATTATTACACCTATTACAGACAAGAACAAGCCAAATTGCGTCCCTGGGTGCAGGAGTGCGCTCCTATTTATTGGGATGGGAGCCTGTGCTGTGGAAGGCATAATTGAGCCATGTTGTGTTTACTTGGCTCCCTGCCCCTCCTGCTGTTATATTGCCTATTTGTTTTGGCTGTTGGGTATGCTGATACTACCGGGTTCAGCTCGTCCTTCCCGACAAAGTATGGCCATGCAGATAATGTGTTAAAATCAGACCACCCAGGAATAGGCTGAGGGCGCTGCTGCATAATAAAAAAGCTCTACCTTGATTTCTGTGTGCCTTAGGACACCTTGGTGGAGGGCAAAAGTGGGCCTAGGAATGGGCTGGAAATGAGAGCAGACAACAACAGGACGGGCGTCAATTGAGGGAAAAGGGACCACCCCATGTATCGCAAAATCCAAAGTGGATTCTGGGTGGTAAAGGAGGGAGGGACCTGGGAAGCCGTCATGGCCTTAGCAAGAGTGGACAGTGCATTGTCGACAGGAGGCTGCAAAGCAACAAGGTGTGAAAGAAGGTAAGCGTGTCTCTGGGCTGGCCTCCTAGCATCACAGACCAAGAAGCCAAGCCCTTTCTACAGGCCCGATCCAGCTTGCACCGAAAGAGTCTCCTTGACTCTGCATTGGGCTCTATACAGATACACAGATGTGAAGATGGCAAGAGGCTATTTTTGACCACACTGTCCTGTACTAAACTTTCCAGGGTACCTCCCATTGACGTTTCATGCGGTGGGGTCTTAGAGATCACGCTCAAGAAGCTTCTCCTGATACTTGCTCTATACTTCCCATTCGTGAAGTGGATGTCCCATCACATGGGACATCTAAAATGAGGCTGGAAGAAGCGCTAGGAAACAACAAAAGAGAATAAAGTGGCAGTGGAAGAGGAACGGACTTTGGGTCTTTAATCCCCTCTATCTGACATGGTTTAGAGATCAGGCATGTGCATCTCATACCTGTACAGCCTTAACAAGTAGAAACAACCAGTCACCTATGTGACAAAGCAAGCCCACCCCAGCCGCCCAGTCCAGCAGCTGCTGAAATCAAGGCAGACCTCCCAGTGATGGCTCTGGTCCATTCTGTGGGGCATGCCCAAGGAGATGTCTGTACTAGTTGTGCTTCGGCTGTTTCAGATGAAAGCCTTTTAAAATATGTTTATGAACTGCAAATACAGAAAATGAGCTGAGGTCCCTTTATGGGGGTTGGACTAGATGACCTCCTGAGGTCCCTTCCAGCCCCGACTTTTCTATGCTCCCAGTTCCACCAAGTGAAACCCATGTGGTTAAACCAGTATAAGTGAGAAAAGGCCCTCAGGTGGCACATGCTTATCAGAAGTGGGAACCAAACCTGCCAACTCACAACCACAAAGCACAAGCCTCAACTACCTGAGCTAAAGAGAGGCAGCACAGCTAGGGAAGGCTGTAGCAGGCTCATGAACCTTTCTACATATGAACCAGCCACTGCCAGCCTGAAACACTGACCAACAAACTCTGCCAGGAAGGATCACCCAGGACTTCCATGCTACCATCTCCATCATACCTAATGAAGGGGTGTGGCAGTATTAGGGCCAGAGCCCTAATAACAATGGCTCAATAACGGCTCCTTGGGGCCATCAGAAAAAAGCACGTTCTTGAACTACTCCTGGTTCTGATCCGTGCATGAGGAAACCAGCCCTCACCCTTGGTGGATAGGGAGATCTTTGGGCCAGGTTGTGGACCCTACCACAAGACAAACAACACTGTCAGATTTGCCACGGGTAGCTATTTCTAGAGCACTGTGCTCCTTCTCTCTATCTGACCCAGATTTCTGTTAAAACATGACGGTGTGTGTGTTTATTAACCTGCCTTTTCCTAGTGACTCTTGAGTCCCCCGTGCCAATGTCTCCTGGGCCTTCAAAGGTATATTTATCTTCCTGACAATAATGTCTTTCAGATGAACAAAAGATAAGCATTTTAAAGCGGTGCATTCAGAAATGCCAATAGGAACGGGCTCTTTCACCAAGAAGGGAACCACAAAATGCTTCTCACTTGCGATGTGTCAGTGCGTCGGCATGTCAGCTGAACAATGGTCTGGCTTAGCTCAGTTGCCAGTAGGGATGTCTGCAACTGTCTGTGCAATGGGACTCGCTTGGCCCTCTTCGAGTTTTCCAACGGGGAAGTCAATGACGGCAAGCGGCGAGAACGGCCAAAGGGAAGGGCTTTAAACCATCTCACCCAAGGGCAGGCATCGTAGGAGCAGATACTGTACTCTCTAATTACAGCAGTGGAAAATGAGGAAAGGAACAGAATACCGAACAGAAATAGACCAGTAAAAAGTAGGCAGTTCGGGTTTTTTTTCCCCTTTAAATGATGTTTATATGTAGGTTTTAGACTCCAGATGTTTCCAGTTTGCCAGTGTTTATCTAGCTCAATACAACTGCCCTAGAACGCTGTCCTCAATTGCTCCTATGCGCTGTCATATACCATATGCCAATCCAAAGGGCTGAGGGTCTGATTTCAAAGCCGATTGCCCTCTATTCATTTTGCCTCCGCACGTTTTGGGATCAGGCTGCGAGAGTGGAAAGTAACCAGCAAGGAATCGCTGATATTATGCTATGCAAGCGGTGCAGGCTTTCACGGGGGCCCTGTGACAGTAGTGCCGTTCGAGCCAATGGTTAAATGAGTCAGCCCACACGATTTTCCTCTCGTTCTTGGGCCTGTGCTCACTGCTTACATCAGGGACTGTCACAAATCCTGGCTTAACGTCTAGATTAGCTTCAATTGCTCTCTGTAGTGACGGTGTCCTTGCTGGGGATATAACTAGGTCTGAAGTCACTTCCAGAACCTGCTAGCTAAAAACCTCCTCTCTGAGTCATCTCCCAGATTCGTCAGAAGGCACTTTGATACATTTTAATAAAGCTCTTGTTCGCCTTACTCACAGAAACTGCTTCTGCAAATCAATTTGCATAGACACTGAAACACAGATTTAGGAAGCTAACGCTAGTTCCCTGCTTTTGAAAGTTTAGACTGTTGTTGCTACCCGTTGCAATTCATAGAAAGTTACGCTAATTAGACTTAGACAGTATGAATGTTATACAAACCACCTCAAACCATGCATCATTAACCGCAAGTCTGCAGTACAAGTGGTTTCTCAGCTTTACCCCAAGATGAAATTTCCAGCATAGCGATCTTGTTTAACATATTAATTTTCATTTCTTGAACTATCATATCCCTCCCTCTTGGAATATATGGTGAGGGAGGGATGTGATATTTATAGATAGATAGATATAGATATATTTATATGTGTGTGTGTGTGTATATATATAAATAAATATTTATATATATATCAATAAAGTTGGTATTTGGTTTTCTTTCAAAGAAAGTTCCTTTGCTGAATTCTTACTTATCAGTCATCGTGTTTCCAAGGGTAACTGTGGTTATAGTCTAAAAAAGTCAGTATAGTCACATGCTGTGTAATCACGGACAGTGCATAATGCTGTGATGCTTTCAGGCTTACAAAAACTGTAGGAAGAAGAAAGAAGCTCTGAGCTTTCTCTGGAAAAACTAAGCCTATAGTAATTCATAAAGGTTTAAATGGTTTCAAGGATATTTCATTCAATAGTGTGTCCTCTATTATGTTAAAATCAGCCAGGAATTAAAACTTAAAAAAAAAAAATTGTTTACCTTTAGTTTTTTTGTCAAGATATAAATCAACATTTTATATCTAGGAATTAACCATTTAAGTAAATGAAGTGATGCTGATTTCTATCATCTAAAGATGTGGTCCAGAAAGTCCGCCAGTAACTTATGCAGTAACATGGGCACTTTTCCAGTTCACTTTAAGCAAAGGTTCACATGATTCCTTACCTACTGTACATATTGAAGAAATCAAACCTCGATGCATTGATTTTAAGCATTATCACCTTAGTTTTCTAATTCCGTGCAAAATTTTGCCCTTGGGGTCCCAACATTTGCCAGTCTTAACACAGAGCGTTCCATTTTGAACCATAATGTGTTTATTTGTCAATAACTACAAGTTTTATTTCTTAAAAGCAAGCCTCTCACCTTTGGTCCAAGGATAAAAATTTCCACTCCAGGCTATGTCTTGATGCGAATTCTTCACACGGCTCTTCAATGTTGCAGAGCTCCTGGGGAACAGTTGGTACATTTTGATATTGAACTCTGAGAAAATGGCTTCTATGAAAAAGAGTTTTATAACAACCTACAAAGACCCTTTTGAGATGAAACCCACTTATTCGAGTCAACCCTACCAGAATGGGAAGCTTCAAAGCATTGACATTATTCATTGCTCTATCTCTTGGAGGCATGAGTGAATCTCATTTTGCAGGTGAGTTGGAGCGATTTATCCCGGGCTGAGTCAGCACCAGAGGTGAGGATGTAAGCCAGCAGTGCAATCCTGCTATCCTTAGGCAAAATCCCCTTCCATCCACTTTGAGGAGCACTGCAGTTGGGATTTTCATGTTCCACCATGTTCTTTTCCGTCTTGCTGACACTGGGGGCCTGGCTGATTTCGTTCTCCTCATTGGCACGATCAGTCACATAGCATGATGGTGCACAGGGCAGGTATAAAAAGAGGATGACTAAAATATAGTTCCACCATCTGAAAACAGGCGGGTGGCAATCTCACCATTTGATGGGTTGGGAGACTTACTTTATGGGATGCACTGTCTCAAGGGATGCTGCTGGGAGCCACCTGTGATTGCAGAAGGTACTGCTCAGAGTAGCTGTTCTACTGCTATCAATGGCTCTTCTCAAACCGCACTGCTAAAGGGCCTGTTTTATTTTCCACTATTTTTAAAAGGACATCCCAAGCTAACCCTGAATGAAACAGCATTGCTGTTCACTCTGCTGTGAATCCTTTATACCTCCCCACCCTACTCTCAAAAATGCAGAACTGAAGGCTGTTCTGCATTAAACAGTAATGACCCGGCTTGAAGGCCTGGGAGCAGCACTCATGGGAACTGCCCGGCTTTCAAGCTGACCCCCAGGATGGCCAGACAAGAGCTCTCACCTTTAAGAACTGTGGTGTGACGAGACGAACAGTCGCGACGAGGCAAATCTGGTCCTCGGTAGCTGACCTGAATGCTCGTGCAATAGCTGACTCAAAGCCATTACAGGCAGGCGTAGGCACTACATGCAAAACAGGCCCAGTCAGCAGATATTTAACAAAGAAGAAGAAGCAAATCCCTCCACTAATGGCAAGGCAGATCCAGGAACTGGCCAAGCCAAACCATTAGCCTTGTCTGCCTGGAGCTCAGAGCCAGGATGATACGTGCTCTTAGAGCCTTTGTTCCAAAGACGAGTGTTTCAGACTTTGGTGATTTCTTTGCATCTAATACTCTCTTTTGGCTCAACTGTGTTCCAAGTGACAGAGGTGCCCTAGCAATACCCATGTTAAAGAAAATCTATTTGAAACAGCTCTATTCAGCTCAGCCTGTACATACACAGCCTGCCCTCCTTTATAAAGGACACTGAAACTCTGGGCTACCTCATAGCAAAGACAGTGAGAATCAGCTGTTGCTGGTTTTACCACTTTTTTCTTTTAATTTTTCCTGTTTCATGTTTATTTCCCCAACTCTCTGCTTAGGTGGGAATATACCTGGGAAAACAAGCTTTCTTCACTGCAGATCTCAGGCAGACATACATGGCCTGCCATAACCCCAGAAAACATGAAGTCTTTGCAAACAGTTGCAAGAGAGTAACACAAATTCTCTTCTGCCTTGAAGTTTTTATACTGTATTTGTTCCATGTACCTAAGCCTCATGGATCTCAATGCAATGAACAGCCCCAGTGGCACGCAGCATGGAGTAGTGACAAATTCGTCCTGAGGCCCGTAGCTGGACATACCCTGGGCAAATCTAGCAGCACTTGCCTTCCTCAGCTGCCTATCACCAGAATGGTGCAAACAAAATCTCTTTTAACTTTTTATGTGATTAGTGCGCATGCAGACAAACATACCAAGTTGTTCCCTTAAATTCAGCACACAACCTCTATGTTTCTTAGGCCCCAGGCAGACCTTACACTTAAGACATGATTAACCAATTAATCCCATCTTAAGTAGCAACCTGGCCACTCGTTAATGCAATTAACAGTGTGATAAAACAAGGAATAAGCCACAAAGTTAATGCATAACAACTTTGTGGATGGTTTCCATCACGCCTTCAATTGAACGTGTGGCTAGGCATCAGCTGATCAGGCTCCCAGCCTCAGGGGCACATCAGAGCCCTTGGCACTGATGAGCCCCCAAGTCTGGGTACTCTGATCAGCTGCAGCTCTCAGCCTTGGGGGTTCACTGGAGCTGACTGACTACTGCTCCCAGCCTCCAGAGCACATCAGAGCCTTTGGCTGGGAGCAGCAGCTGATCAGGGCTCCCAACATGAGGGTTGCATTAGAGTCAGGGGCTCTGATCCCCTGACCCCTTTAACCGAACATCTGCCACAGGCCTAAATGACTTACTGGGGAGGGGGGG